AATAATTTAATTAATGATAGTTTAGTGCTATTTACTGCTTGAAGTAATACAATTGATGTGAGAGGCAATTGATGATTATTAATGAGGTATTGGACTAGCTTCATGTTACCGCTGCTAGCACTATGAATCAATGCATTCCATTTATCATTATCTTTCATGTTAATGTCACTGTCTTGTACTTCAATGAGATAATGACTGAGATCAATGTTACCATGATGACATGAATAATGAAAAGGCGTTCTACCCTCATTACAGGTTATATTAATATCAATGTCAGTAGTATTCATAATATATTCTACTACATTGATACTACCTGACATACAAGCTAATGCTAATGGTACTACACCTTCGTAGTCTGGTTGACTGGCATTCAGATACAGTATAACTGAGTAGAGTAGGTGAACCTGATGAAGCAGCATAATGTACTGCAGACCGACCCTCATAATCTAATGAGCTTGTGTTAATACCATACTCCTCTAATACCTTCACTAATAATATACTACCACTAGTACATGCTAAATGAACCAATGATTGACCAGTAGCAGTAATAGAATTTATATTGAAATTATTAATAACGCTTGTCTTCTTGAGGAGTGTAGACAAAAGGCTTACCCTTTTATGCTGTTTAGTAACATTTATATTTAGTGATATAAATATAAACCAGGCTTTGTTGAGATTCGAATAATGGAATTGTTTAAGTAAAGGTATATCACATGGTGCAGTGAGCTTATTATACACTTCTGTAATGCAGTATTTATCAACCAATCCACTGCATAAGTAATGAAGAGAAGAATGACCACTATAATCAGCTTCTAGTAATACTTTATATTCAAAAATATTAACCATTTTCATAATCAAACCTGATGAAGCATACTGGCATGCTATATGGAGTGGTGTTGAACCAAAACGATTTCTTTTCTTAAATAATTCATTTTTATGATTATTATAAAGATACACTAGAAGCTCTACACTATCACTCATAGCACAATAATGTACTATTCCACATCCGTTAAAATCTATCTCATCTTCTGAGAAAATACCAAACTGCTTAAGCTGATCAACTAATGCTACCTCTCCACTCTTACATCCTAATAATGATAAAGTCGATCCTTCTCTATTCACCTGAGACACGTTACACTTCTTCTTTAAAAACATAATCATGAGGTCAACGTGACCACCCAGTGCTGAGTAAAGCAATCCCGTGTTACCAGAGCTATCTGCTATGTCTGGATCAACGTGACATTCATTAACTAGATACTGTGCAATATTGAGATGGCCTTTATACGAGGCCATGTGTAAACTATTAACACCATCATCGTCACCTTGTGAAGGATCGCAATGATAAACATCAATGAGGAGACATAGGACATTAATGTGGCCACCATATGAAGCAGCTAATGGTGGACTCCATCCATTTTTACCTCTTTCCTGAAGGCCAGTCTTGTCAATCAATTTTTGTACTTCATCTTTTAATCCTCTCCAACATGCTTCATTCATTGGAGTGCTGGTATTCTCATACCAGAGAGGATCATGGATATCTATGTAATATATAATAAATATATTTAATATTAATAATAATTACCAATAGGTGAATCATGAAGCTTTTTTAATTCATTCTCTGCCAACTATAATTATTAAAAATAATATTAATTAATTCTAATTAATTATTAACACACCTGCTTCATTTCATGTACATATTTATGACAAGTAATTTTTATGATTCTAATCTCAGCCAATGAATCACACTGTTGATTGGTTAATGGAAATAGAACAGAATAAAGAAAATCAGGAATGGAATATTTTAATTCCATGCAGCCATCGTCAATTGTACAAAAATAGAATTTATATTGAGGAACTTCAAGTGCATCAGCGATTAGCTTGTGAAAGAAATATAAATCATTTAATGTGTAGTCATCTCTGGCAACCTTAGCAATCATTACTTTAGTGCCTGGAACATCAGAAAGACCAAACTCAATCGAGTCTGCAATTTGAACTGCTTTAGTATTGTTATTTTTAAAATAATCTTTTAATTTCTGACGATATGTAGACCACTTCCTCTGTAAATCTCTCTCATCAGTAATGAAAGTATTGACTAACTTGACAACAAGTTCAAAATTGAACCACGAGACGTATCTTTTTAATGCTTTAAACAGCTGATTCATTGTTTGAACGTGGTCAAACTCTTTTTCAATTGACTCAATCATTTGGGGTTTATCAAAACGTGGGCTAAGTAAAAGTGCGATATAATTTTGAAGAAAATGGATAACTTTTGAGACGTCAATCGAACCAAAAGATTTTTCTGTAAAATACATATTATCAAGGTAACCTTCTCTTAGATCTCCAAGCATTCGTGTAAGGTTTTCAGGTAAATATCCAATTGACTTTTTCTTAACGTAAACGACTGAAGACTCAGATTGAGGTGAAGTAGGAACTGGTAGCTTAACAGTTGAAGTAGCTTCTGAAATAATAAATAAAAATGATTATTAATTAATGTATTAGTTATCTACCTTTTGAAGATGAAGTACAAACTGGTGATGTAGTAGCCTCTCCACTACTAGTAAGATTAAATTCTTTTGCTATTTCATCAGCTAGAGCTGGATCAGCTCCTCCACTATTACTTTTAATGGAGTTACACAGCATTCTTAATGTAGGGACACCATGACTCTTATAGTCATAGTCCTTCTTTAACCAGCAATCAAATACTTTCTGTAGACAAGTTCTTGGTGGTTTGCCCCCTGCTTCAATCTCATATAACTTGTTGTAGCTGATTCCTAACAGAATACCAACAGAGTCCCAGCGTCCTGAAAGAACACCAGCTTTTTCCCATACCAGTCGAAAATCATTAATATCTATCATTAATAATACTAATAAAACAATTATTAGGCCACTCCAATTTGATTCCTTGTTTCCCATTACCCGCCCGCATGGGGCCGCATCGCTATTCATTATTGCGGTTTTTCATTGATTATACAAGCAATTTATACAGCTGATAATGAATAAATTTAATGAAAATGAACAAACCCGCCCGCCCGCATCAGGCCCGCCTCTGTAATGGGAAACTATGAATCTTATTGGAGTGGCCTTATGAATATCTACTCACTAAGCTCTCTGTCAAAGGCTCTTTTCAGCTCCTCTGGTCTGGTTGACATTTCACTTCTCAGTTTGGAATGCAGGCCCAGGCAGCCCTAGAAGAAGACACTGAATTTGACTTCCGGTTTATTTTATCCTATAAAAACACTGTAGTCTACACTACTGCAGTGGTCAGTGTAGTAAGCTCCAGTCTACATAGTACATGATGGAGAGGCCAACTGAAGCAGTAGATCCAAC